TATTATTATTAAGTATCTGTAATTTATTTAGTAGTTGGTCCAGCCCTAACCCTTGACAGAACCATACATGTCTATATATCTATATATGAGTCACATACACATTAAGTGTATTATCACAGTTGTAAATCAGTTTTCACAGGTTCATCTGAATGCACATTCTTTCACAAGTATGTGTGCTGACAAGTGTTGTAGTTACATGAAATAACACAGATTTCAACTGAGAAGACAGAAGATGTTTCTTATGCTAATATTACAGATAGCATATTCAGCTGAATTCAGAAACGCGCTACAAAAATGGACACAGAATAACCTACAACAGGGAGCATTTATAAAGGACCAGCCAATAAGAGGCTGAAATCTATGGTAACAATACAATAGGAAACAGTATTAAAATCAAGAACTTTTCACATATATTTGTTAAATAACTAGTTTGTTTAATTTGAATTGAAACGGCATTAATAATTTTGTCATTTTATGTAGCCATTCATGTTTATTTTCTACAGCTGTATGTCAAGTAGGCACTTGATGGCCAACCTGTACGTGTACAACAAACTGTAGCAACTACATCGTTCCTGATCAATTAGCTTCAGAAAGTTTGCTTACAGTTCACCACTGTATTCTAAAGATTCTCAACAGCTATAGATGTTTAAGATCCAAGGAAAGATTTTAGCTGAACTAATTTTAATTTCACATGTAAAAAAAACCCAGCCAAACAAAACCCCCCACAAAAAAAACCCCAATCGAATACAAATTTTGAGTAAGTCTTAAAATATATCAAGATAATGGTTTTGACACTTAAGACCCTGGTGCATCTCAAGGCTGTGGAAGCAAGGCTGGGTTTTTGCAAGTTAAACATCAATGGCAAAACTCACCTGAATTATATCCCCGGTATTAAAGCTCATCTCATCATGATTCCTTGCTTCAAATGGATATAAAGCTCTGTAATTTACCAAGGCAACTGAATTCCTAGACTCTGCACTGCCTGAAAGGATAAGAAAACTAGTGAAAACTGTGAAAACTGTGAAAACTAGCCATCGTATCAATACAGCCTCAAGAGATGCACTTAGTTGGCACCCTACCATTCTATGCAACTAGAACAGAAGAACTGTTCTTGCCCCACAGACACGACGCAAGTATCGAAGGAGATCCCAAACTACAACAGGCCAATGGGACGCATGCAGCGCAAGTGTTCAACGTGCCAGTCACAGCAAACATGACACAGGTGATAAAACGTGCTGTCTTCTGAAGTGAAAAAATGACATCTTTATATTCTTATCTTTCCTTGTCAAGCTGCTTTGGGTAGGCCAATTTTTTAATATAGTCTTGTCTAACATCATCATCATCATCATCATCATCCTAGTTGAAAAGATACCACTGCCACAGCTGAAAGTGTTCAGCACCAGGTGTGAAGATTTTACCTGAGAGCCTGTAAGGCCACCATTTATATTTCCTTTGCATCTTTGCTGCCCAGGACTGTGATCGATGTTGCTAACAGTGAATATTTCACAAGGTATAGGTGAGCTGTGCAAATATCTTTCAGCTCTGTTCCAATCTGGTTCTTGCTGAATTCGGTGATAAAAGTAGCTAATAAAAACTGACAAGAACTAATTAAAGGTGGAACTAATCAAAACGGCCTTTACCAGAAAATATTGTTAAATCAGTGTTTTTTCAAGTCCCACAACTAGAGCTAGGATGACTTCAGTTCTTTGTTTTTAGTAAGAGGCATTGAGTAATGTAGAAATAATGTCAAAGTTAATAAATCACTTTGCTGAGTGTTACATTCTCATCCACTCATTACTGCACAGAACTCCTCCGTATTAGCATTCTGCTTTAATGACAGAAAGGGCAGGACATAGGAAAAAGCTAAAATATTGCTGTTTCCAGTGTCTGTTATTTGTTAGCCATGATCACCAGAAGATTTGTCATCAGAGTCCTAGGCACTGAAAATCGATGAAAGTAACCTAAGGTAACAGGACAATCTATTCCTAAAGACATGAAACGTTGTTGGGGTTTTGTTACAATATTTTAGACAATAACCCTGCCACGGCATCACGACAGCAATAATACTTCCAAAGAATGAAAGAACACTCAGGAAAAGAAGAACCATTAAAGCCAAAATCTAACAGACTAAGATTACCTTCATTTTTCCAGGGTGGCTTAAGACTTTTACCCTCTGTTGGTTTCAACAGATCTGCAAGCTTCTCATTTATGTTTAATATGGAAGTGTGTTTCTCCACCTCTTGAGAATTGGTCGCTTCTTTTAACTTCTTTATTTCTTCATTCTGCTTATGCCTCTCTTCAGCTTCTCTTGCAATTTGTTCTTGCTTTCTTTTATCTTCTTCCAGTTGCCTCTGCCTTTGTTGTTCTGTCTCCCTCAATATCATGGCTGGCCTAATTTTCTCCTCCTCTGCATGAAGCTGTTGTTTGTTTTCCCTTTCTCTCATCAGAGCTTCTTCAGCTTTCAGCTTTTCTTGAACTTTTTCCTGCATTCGTTCTTCCTCCAGTCGTTTCTTTTTCTCTTCCTCTTCCCTTCGGATATTTTCCTGCCATCGGCTCTCCTTCTCCCTTTTTGCTTTTCTGAAAGAATGACAGAGGGGTGGGCAAACATTCAGATAAAAAGGAATGAGATTGTGTTCATGAGCAATCAACTGCACTTCTAAGTAAGACTGAGTCTATGATATCAACTACTTTTCTCGCTGGCCAATACGGCTCTTCCACAGGAGACCACGTCTTAACACGAGTATCAGTGCATTTCACACATAAATAGCAAATGGATTAAAATTCTTCGTATAGAAACACTTGGTTACATATTGCTGTGAGCACTTCTGCTCAGCTGCATCCCAATGTCCAAGAAATGATCTGTTAACTGAACAAAGGTGGTTTTAAGCTGTCCACTAAGGTAGTATCCAAATCTCATGACTGGAAACTAAGATAGCCAAACAGACTAGTAACAAAATTTCACTCTAGTAGGTACATTAAAACAGCCACTGCATACTGATGTATGTTACTTCAATTTTTTTGCCTTCAGCAGTTGTAACCTATTCAACATGCTTATCCCACCACTGCCACACTCTTCAGACGACTGAATCTTGAAACCTGACTGTATTCTCTGAAATTACTCAGATTTTATCCTGTGCCTCTTCTCTCCAAAGAAGTTATTATCCAACTCAACACCCTTAAAAATCATTGTGTTGTAGCGGTCAAGATCCTTCTTCTGAAAAGACTGGACCTAACCCTTTGGGCCACCTTCTGAAGAGCTTGTTGAGGAGGAACCATGCCTAGACGAGACTGCTTCATCAAATCACTGTGTGAGGTCCACTTATCTGATGGTCATTTTATTGTTTTCAACCACATGAGAAGACCTAGTAGAAGTGAAGCAGTAGTACATGCAGTAAGACTGTTACTCTATCAGATGGTTATGTTCAACAGAAAAAATTAATGGGATGTCATTATACACGTGGCATATGGTTCTCTTAAAGGGACTGTCCAAAATATTATGAAACTCCATCGCAGTGTCACAGAAAAACGCTGTCATGAGTTAATCACACTACAAGGTCACTAGCTCTGCTTCGTTAAAAACAGTCAAAACAAACATGAACCCTTGAAAAAGAAAGTCTCCCTCAAATTAAAAAGACAAAATGCAGCAATTCCCTGAAGAAGTCAAAACCAAAGCAACTTCAGAGCTGAGGACTTCCCACCGAGGGCACCCAGCCACACTCTCTGGCACCTTTTCTATCCAGGGCTGCCAAGCATAAAATAGGCAGCTGAGAGCACAAAGTCTGGAGGGAGGAAAAGCAGAGGTAGGCAGAATCACACCTTAGAAGCTATGGTTTCTTAATCAATGAAACAAAAGAAAATAGAACTAGTGGGGAACATGACCATGAGAATCCAAGAGTTGACAAGAGTAAAGTTTGAGTGCTCGATACAAGGCTGGGCTGAGCAAAACCAGGAGCGCACACATGACAGGATGACTCTCTCACATGTATATTCGCATTTTGTCATTATCCTCCTCAAACAGGAATCAAATTTAAAACTCAGAGCCTGCTCACTCATCAAGCTTTCAAGATTAACACAGAAATCAAGCAGTCAATGCTCTCCCTATTGTCTTAAGTATCAGTCTCACAAGTGTCTGGCCATACATGCCAAAGAACTTGTACCTACTCAGTCAGGACCGCTTTTAAGGAAATAGGTCAGATCTTGGAAAGGTGAGCAAAACAAGGCAGAAAATACAAAATATAAGACAATTATCTATTAAAGGACCTAAAAATCTGATTAGCAAAAGTGACTACTCGGTTTATCTGAATTATAAGACAAGGTTCTTTTTTAAAAAGAAGATAAAAACAGATGGGAAAAAGGAAATTCAAAGCGTCTTACATCAGTAGTAGTACTCCATATAAAACATTTTCTTTGAGGCAAGTCTGTAGGATGTATTTTTACTAAGCAGACCTCTTGCTTATTACAGTCAGTGTCTTAAAGTCCCCACAGCATTCTTTTACTTTAAAAACTGCAGTGGTGATACATTCAGGGACGGTACCTTGCAGCCTCATCTTCCAGGCGCTTCTTCTGTGCAAGTTCAGCTCTTCTTTTTTCTACCTCTCTTATTTTGTCCTGTTTGATCCTGTGGAGCTGTTCCAAAGCTAACTGCTGCGTACTGTAACTTTCTCTCAGGTCCTAAGGAGGAAACACAATGATGTAGATCAAAGGAACAAAGCCAATCTTTTGAGAAAAGCATCCAGGCATTTTAATGTTTTGTGATCCCAGTTTTAATACAAATGGACAAAATAATCTTACAGTTATTAATAGTCCTTGGAGGTCACTGTAAAGAAAGCCAAATAAACAAAAGTATAAAAGGAGATGGCAGATTTGCAAAGCCTTTGACGTAACTTAGGCTTTCAAAGAGCCCTTCCAGTCATGCGCCTGATGGAAATGGCAAATACGGCTGAGGAGAAGGGAAGACAGCAAACGGAGTGTTGGAACACAATGTTATCTAAGGACATAGAAGGCAATGATGCATATTTTAAATAACTACATGGAGGCAGACTTCAACTGAAAGTCAACACAATACCATATAAGTGAGAGTGCATCCCTTCAGTAGGGCTTTTGCACTGCTTTCTCAATGATTGGTCCCATAATTAAAACAGAAAAACTCAATAAAAATATCCTGCAGGCTTACCACTGTAGGAAGCCGTAGCCTAAAGAAATCAACTCAGACTGGAGTTTTCCTATTTTTGTAAACTTCACTATGTTACCCTTTTTCTTTTGAACACATCCTATTCCATCTCCCTGACAACAAACTTTTTCAAAGCAGAAAATCAGCATGAATCTTTGGGATAATTAAACTTACAGAAAAAAAAAATCAACAATAATAGAATTACTTCAGATTGTACTTCACCATGTTAAAAAACACCTGTAAGATACTACATGATTTTTTCCAGGACTCCTATTGATACAGACTGAGCAACGCAACAGGTATGCCCTGACTTCATATCTGATCTCATAAATGCAAATTAAGCAAGAATGATCTATTCCCACTACAATATGCACCTCTACCAATACTCCAGCTGCCTTAGAGATATTCAGCGATTTATATAAGAGGACTTCTGTGTCAGTTGAAGTCTCTGTAGCAACAAACTAAATCAAGCAAATGACTACAATTTTTCCCCCAAACACATTCATTGGAGAATACCTTTCTTCTCATTCTGCATAGAAACTGAATAAACAAACCTGTATTTTAAAAACTGTTGTATCTTTGGCTTGAGGACAGAATAACCCTTATCCAAAATAGAAAGGTCAGTTAACTAATTCCGTTTTTTTTTTTCCTTATGTATTATTCTCAAAGCCAGATTTCTGACCCCAGCAGACAAAAGCAGTGTTGCGGAAAAACAGCAAGTAGGTTTTAGTACTGGGTTAATCTGGAGGTTTAACAGCACTGCATTTGCCATGTCATCTGCCATATGTCATAATCTGGGTACTGATGCTATTTCTAGACTTTTAAACTTGGATGAGAACTCATATAACCTGATTCACAGATAAGATACATGGATATGGTAGACAGCAACAGATGGAAAAGTGGGGAAGGCACTGTTTCCATCTACGACAGTGTGGTTTTGGTTGACATTACCTTAACTAAAAAGAAAAATATGTGGGTAAAACAACATAGTGAACATAGTCTATTAAGAAATAAAATGGCTTATCAGTATTTTGCAGTTCGGATTTCTAAGCAGGTCAGAAATTTTTAAGTCTTTAAGAGCATGTTAAAGCTAGCAGAAAGAAAAAGAGCCTATTGCTTTTCTCTTAAGAGAATTATTTAATAGAAGTTGAACATCCAAACAGAAAGGGTAAGCAGAGAAAAAAATGTGAAATCATTAAAAACCAAAAGAACTAAAGATTAGAAAATAACCTTAAGTAAGAGGAAGAGGTTGTTGAGACAGCTTAGCAGAGACAAAAGGCACTGAAGGACAGAATCATCCATATTCTCACGCTGTAAGATAAGGTAGATAAAAAGCCAATTAATCTTTGCATTGCATTTTGAAAAATATATTTTAGGGAAGACTGAACTGTGGATGCAGCCACTGAACACAGCAAGCCATGCAACAAACAAGTAACTAAAAACGTGTGTTACGCACAGTCATTTTTTAAGAAGAAACTCCCTAAACGATTACATTTTTTTCTTTCCGTTGTTTTTTGTTGGCGAGCGCAGCACCCTCACCCTGGCCAAGCAAAAATACATTGCTTAAGAATAAAGTTCACATCAGCACCACTGGTTGTGAGCTGGTAAATCAAGTGAGACTGAGAGCTGCCAGTGTTTTTAGAGAAGTCAATGGGTGCCTCCAACAAAAATGCCTTCAGGGCCAGTATTTCTTCACTTCTACACAAATTAGTGGCCTATGTTTACTTTTAGGATAACACCTAAGTCTGCTACGAGATCTTGTACGACGTACCGTGAAACCACGTACTTCTCTCAAAAGAAGTTAAATGTTCAGTCCACAACTGAAAAATAGTAGCCAAGGGCCTGCAAAATTGCAGTTCTAAGTCAGAATGAATTCTAGAAGGCAAAAGTTGAGGGTGAGCTACAGTTGACTCATGCAAAGCAATGATTAGCGAGAAATCTGTATTTTAGTATGTTAGCAATAGTTTTAGTGCATTTCTATCGCATTATTTACTCCAAGACTTTTGGTAATTCTTATCTGACACCGGAAGTTTAGGAAAGCTTTTTGGAAGCCTGGCAGAAGTGCCACCACTCCTTATGACTGGAGGGAGAAATAAAGATACTCCTTACTTAAGACTAAGTATTTAGATAATATATGTACCTTAAGCTGACTGTTAAATGCATCCATTTCAGCAAGTTTAGAAGCAGTTTCTTTCTCCAGGGCATCTAATTGTTCCTTAAGTCTTTGGCATAATTCTTCTTTTTCTAGGGACCTCTTGTGCACTGAGCTGATTCCCGGACCTGCATGAGGAAAGACAAGCAATTTCATAAGGATTTCTGTTTTCACTAATTATTTTCCTAAAATACATACATTCCCAACCTCTCTCCTCACAAAAATTCCTGGACTACACAGAGCAGAAATAGTCCCAACATTTGAGATATACAGGCATTAACTGTAATATACACAGAATAATTTGTAAGTTGCTTTCTTTAATATCAGATCAATTCATAGCTTGTTTCTCTAGATAGGGACTTCAGGTGTGATCTGATGTAAAGACTAGTGTAAATTTTACAGAAACGAACTCCCTTGAGTTTACACCACCAGGAAAAGACAAAGTGTAGTACTATCTGTGGGCTGTACCATCTGTATAAACAAAGTTTCAAGCAAAACCTGTGTCTTCTTGCAAAAATATTTGTTTGTCCCTTATTTAGAACATGAACAAAATAATGGAATGCAGATGACACAATGCCACGATGACACTGAAAAGATAGAAACGTAAGGGTGTGACTAACACCTCTGTATCCTTCAGCAATTTTTTCCCCTTTTTTTTTAGCACATGATGAAAAGCCAGCAATGCAAACAGAAGAGAATTCATTTGAAGACACTTACTCTGAGTGTTTTCAAGTTCAGCGTTTTTAATTCTTTCACTTAACAACTGCTTTTCAGGAACTAAATAGATCAGTTTATTCTGATGCTCCTGTACATATCAAAGAGAATATAACAAATTTTTAACATTGTTTATGAATCAGTAAGCAAAAACTGGTGAATTTTCAAACATAACTTCAACTCATGTTAATGAAACGTGAATGCAAGTTATCATTACAGGGTAGAGGAAAAAATGACTTCTGTACTCTCAACGTAAACACTATTAAAACTGATTATTTTTTGACCCAAAAACATTAACACAGCTAGAAAAAAAAATAAGGAGATACACTAAAAGCGTAAATATTATCATGAGAATATTTAACCGCCTAGAGTCTAACATAAAACAGTAATTTTCTGAGAACACACAGGAACAAAAAAAGAAGTTTTCCCTGACACACAAGAGCATTACGTCAAAATAATAGAGGATGATTTATGCTAGCCAACTGATTTGAAATAATCTTGCTCTTCAAAGAGAGAGAAAAAAGGAAAAAAAGCAGCAAGATAATGCAACCCAAATACCAACTTGTTTTGCATACAGGAAAATCTTCCTCATAAAAATTTTGAGTCTGGAGCCAAAAAAGAATTTGTAATTAAAAGACAAGTCACTATTGTTCACAAAAGAACAGCAGAGGTTTTGACAACTGTCCTTGCTCAACTAGCAGAGCTTGCTGTAGTACCTACAATCACTCCTTGAACACCATAAATAAAACTAAAAATCTCTGCAATGTTGATGGCCTTGCCCATTTCCTCTCTCTGCTATTATCAGATTGACTCACTGTTCCTCCCTACGGGAATATATTCTCGGCCGGCAGGGTTACGGTAACACAAAACAGAAAGCAAAGGAAAACTAAAAGCTTAGCAGAGAGTTACATACCTGAAGCTGTTGCTGTAGTTGCTTGACTTCCATAATTGCTTGGTCATACTTCCTATCTAAAGCTTCCAGTTCGTTTTTTCGAATTTGCTTTTTGCTTCGAATATCTTGCAATCTGCCTGAGATTTGCTGATGTTTGTCCGTCTAGCAAGAAATTAAAAACAAACGGTACCACACGTGGCAAAATCGCTTCTCCTCTAAATCTGTGGGCAGATTAGTTTATGATCAATTCTTTAAACCCACCCAAAATACCTGCTTTAGACTGCTCATCTAAAACAGATCAAAACTCCTAGTGGGCCATTAATGCACACTTTAAAATACTGTATTTCAAGATGTGTAGTGAAATTTCTGTATTACCAGGGCTTCTAATTCAAGATTAAGGCTCTTCTTTTTGGAGGTCAACTTGACAATTTCTTCTTGCTCCCTGTTACGTTGGTTAAGAAGTTCTTGGCGACGAATCCTCTCCCATTCCAACCGTCGCTGACGCTCAAGTTCTTGCTTTGCTGCCTGCACAAAAATTACCTTAAATTACAACGGAGATGCAGAACTCGGAAGACTATGATGTAATATAACGCGCTCGATTTCTAAAGAGCCTAACAGCAGCACAGCATAGTGTCTCTCATAAAGTGGTCTTACATACTTCAGCATCAAAGAACAAAGGAAGTGATCCTGTAAGATTCTTCATGCCGTGCTCCTAACACTGGATGAAAAAAAGCTACAAAATTCAGACAGGGAGCCTGTTTAGCTTGGAACACTGCCCATAAATGAGCACATTGACAGATACTGCTCATAACCAGCTTTGAGTATTTCATGGAATTACATAATAAATGCAAGTCTTATTCATGCGCTGAGATGCCAAGTAGAAGTAAATTTGTCTCAAGTTCAACCGTCAAAATAATATTAATTATAAATTCAGCACAATCTTGTTTGGTATACAGATTTGTTGCATACGTGCAAGAGATCTGTCCAAAAAAACCTCATCTGTCCTATGAAGTATCTGAAAATCTTCAGCCTGCACCAACACCCGATTCGTTTGTAACAGACCCAAGGTTTTCAGACACAAACGATGCTCACTCTCCAAGACAACCCGTCAACAGCCATGAGAGGACGCAGAAGCAAAGCCAGCACTCAAACCCCGAATGCTCGGTCAAGTGGACACACTTCTTTAAAGCATGAAAAAACAATTTCAAGAAAACAACCTCCCGTCTTTCTATTTCTTTCCTCCTTTCTTCTTCCCTTTGTCTTTCCAACTCTCGCTGTCTCTCCAGCTGCCTTTCCATCTCAAGTTGTCTTTTCCGCTCCTGTTCCTGACGTTCTCTCTCTCTTCGCTCTTGTTCTTCTCTTTCTTTCTGAGCCTTCCGTTCAGCCTCTCGCTGCTGCTGCTCCAACAGGACCTGACGGCGTTTTTCCAGCTCCATATTTCCCCTCTCATAGTTGGCTTTCCTTTTGTCCTCAAATGTCACTGAAGTAAGGAAAGGTAGTTATTTCTGTCCTGTGCAAAACACTGCTCTCAAACAACTATCTCAGTTATGCCACTAAAGACAGATACTTTCTTTTTGGCAAGCTCAGGTTTGTTGGGTCATGGATGATACAAGCATCCTGTATTTGTTACAGTGTTATTTTTCTTTTCAAAAATACCATATTTTCCTACATCTGGTCCAGTTGGGGGAAAAAAAAAAGTCTTAGTTTAAAATTATTTGCATTTTAGAGGAAACCTAAACAAACAGCTTTTATAAGCTAGGAAAAGACTATCTTCTGTTAAAATGGTTTTCCACTGTGCAAGAAACATTAATGCACAGAGAAAGCACTCAGTTTTTAAGGGTGTTGGCTGGAAGGGATCCCAGAGTTTAAAAAAGCAGAAAACAAAACAGGATCAAGCTCAATTAGTGCCGTGCAGCATAAAAGGAGATCCAAAGGAACGGCTTAGGCTCTTGGCAACCACCCTTCAAAAAGAAAAGGCAAGTCAGGTCTCGCAGCGTGCACGTAAGACACCTTTGCCGGTAGCATCAGGGAGTCAATAGCAGAATCTATGCAAAATGCCTCTCGTTTTCAGAGAATTAAACTACATTGGAAGCCTTTGCTTTGCCAATGTCCAGAACAAAGAAATGCCGGGAATGTTCAACCAAAAAAAAAAAATTTGCAGTAGCACGGCACTATTTGGCCACATAGGATTTCTGTCCCAAAATACATTATTAATCAGCACACTTTCCCTTTCCAACAGCTAAAAACAGCACCTGTCTCTGCTTTCTCAATTCTATTAGATGTACTAGGCTGACTACATTCACTTAACAACGTTCCTACCATCCAAGTTAAAAGAGATCAAGCTCTTGAAATGAAGCTCTCTAGGGATTTGATTATGTTTTCCACTTCTTAAAGATTTCTGTGCCCTCCAAAGACAGCTCTATCCATCAAGAATGTGAACTCTATTTTACCTGGCTGTTTTTTCTGTGGCTCCTCCTCTTGCACAGGCTGATAAGATGGCAGAGTTCCATTAATATTTTCAGTACATTTTCCACTCCTGGTGGAAAAAAAACCCCACACTACTGTTGTTAGAGGAAATATGACAGTTATTTTCTTTTTATATATAAAAAATACGTATCATTCGTGTGTGTATATATATAAAATATTCTGTTTCATTGTCCTCAGTGATATATACCTGAAAGAAGGTGGCACCAGTTCAAGAGGCAGAGTGAGTGGCAGAGGCTGTCCGGCTTTGGCCATATCAGTTAGGTGCATGGCTAACACAAACTCGTCAGCTTTCAGCTGCCCATCTCCATCTATATCGGCCAACGACCTGCACGGTTTTAACAGCAATAACAATTAGAACCACACATCACAGTCCCTCGCAAATGAAAGCTGAAAGAGTTTACCGTAAAAATTACTTTTAGAGGAGATTCCTGCGAAAAGGAATTTCTCAGAAGAAACTCCTGTGAAATGTTCTGGTAAAAATAATTACAATTACTGGCATGAATAGCTGATGAAGGCAGATATTGTTTAATGACATACTGCTATTCAGATGTTTTCTTAAAATACAGCAAAGAGGACAGAAGAGGCTAAGAGACATCTCTTTATTTACTGCATCACCAAGAGAAGAGCTGGGAAAAGAATTCAGGACTGTTCTTTATCAGCTCAAAATGCTGGAAACCACTTTTTCAATATTTTTTTTCAAAGCAGAAGAAAACATTACATAAAATTACATCAAATTCTACAACAGGAACCTTTGCGTAGAATTCCTTTCCCTCTCCACCTTGTGTCTCCTCGACAGTGCAGGAGAAGACGTGAGCTGCCCCAGAGTTCTCTGCACCTGGTAGGAAAAGGATCACCCACCCCTTTGGAGAAAGCAAACGGCACGATCGTACCATGAGCCTGCAAAATGCTTCCCCCACAACACTGGGGGCAGGGGGTGCTGTGTGGGGGTCCAGAGACGCAGGCAAGGAAGCAGGAACCTTTCTCAGAGAACTGTCTATGTAGCTGTAACTGCAGGAATGTGTCCTTACACTGCACTGAAGTCAAATGCTTAAAAAAATAACTGCTTGTTAAAAAAAAGGGAAAAAGCGGTTAATAAAAACCTTACTAGAACCAAAAAGGAAACAATTAAGCAAACAAAAAATCGCCAGCACCCCTACACATACCACAGTGAAAAACAAAAGCAGGACATGATGAAACAAGATTTTTTTGTGTGTTCATAGACCAGCACTATTCACACCCGACAGCCCTGTTTTTATAGTCATTACCATGAATACAGGACCCTGGCAGGAACGGTGGTAATTCCTTACTTTGGGCAAAAGAGAAACTCGGGCTGTTAATCCTCTACAGGGGTACACAGACCCCCCCACACCGGCTACTACATCTTCAGGTGAGGCACCAGGAGGAAAACAGTCCCTGCTCGATTTCCCCACAGAGGAACACGACCTGACGCTCCCTTTATCACCCTCACAGCGCGCAACCAAACGAGCTGAATGAATACAAGGAATATTTCAGCTTGCTGCTGCTAGAGACAAACAAATGACCGCCCTGGGATAAAGATGACGAAGAAATGGAACTCAGGAAGGGATGTAAAGCATCAAGTGGTTGGGAATTCTGCTGCGCCAGTATATTTTCATGCGTATCAGCCGAGCTATGTCCAAAGGTGTAACCCAAACTATCCCATCTAGCCAGGCAGATTATTCCAGCTTTCATACAGCTGTAACCATTTCTGTCACCACAGTAAAGGCAAGTCTTCACAAATGCCTAAAATGCAAATATCTTTATGGGAACTGCAGTAAAACCCTACAAATGTGACTGGTTACTTCATTTTTAACGTTTCTCCATTTTACCACTAACACACTTGATTTTGGAATTCTACTTTTAAAATGAACAAACCCTCTTCTCTACTAAACCAGCACATCGCTGAATCAGAAATTGAAATTAATAGCTAAACTATTATATGGGCTTTAACAAACACACACAAAGAGTGAAAAAATTAAAAAATTAAGTCAAGGTGTCTTTTGAAAATGTACTAATGACGAAACTAGTTTAAGAAGTAGCTTAGTTTCAGTTTTTTACTTCAGATCTATGGTGTACTTTACTGAATAAGAAATTAAGAAGGGATATTTTCTCTTAACACCATAAATGCACTGAATTCATAATCAGTAGCTAAACTTACCAAATTGTAGCCAGCTGAGTCTGTGAAAGGTTTGATTGGAGAAGGGCATTCCTTGCTTGAAATCCTTAGTGAAAGTGTAAAAGATTTTAATAAAAATAAACACTTTGAACAAAGATTCTCATGTAGGAAAAAAAAAAAAAAAGAAAAAATAGAAAAAAAAGAAATGGGTCATGAACTGGGGCATGTTTATTTTTAATACTAATCTAATCCATTTTCATCAGTGCCTGACAGTTGACTTTACTTCCAGGCTTAACAAAAGGCATTACAACCCGAACACAATAAAGATACGAGTATTCTTGTATTTTTAATTTATTTTTTCACTCAGAGCACCTAACAGAAAAGCTGACGTGAAAAATGAATATTTATGGTAATCCCCGCAGCTGTTACAAAAGCACAGCTGACTGCCTACCTAAAGCTTGAGCTGGCATCCTGGAAAGCTGTCAGCTTTCCTTTGAGAGCTAAGAACTGTACACCACTTTAGGCAGGTCAACGAGACCTTCAGCCCAAAGTCAACTGAACAACACCTAACGCATTGAGTCCCTGTCTTGAAAGAGAGAATTGTCCTCCTTTTTTGTAGGCTAGGAGGCAGAAGCTTAAAAAATGCTTATTTAAAATGGGAAATCTAGTTGGCTACAGACATATAAACTGAATTTACGTCATCTAACTGCCTGCCCAGTGCTCAACTCGCTGCATTACAGCGAGCAATCCAGTCTGACAAGAACTTTCATAAAAGTCTACTCCTGTACGAACTTTGTGTGAAGTCTTCTGAAACCACCGTAACGCCATGGCACAGCACAAATATCACTGAAAATCAACTGGGAAAGAACGGCTCCCTTAAACTTCTTTTGAAAAATTCCAACCAACAGCTGCAGTACTGCGGTGTCCTTCCTAAACTTTTCTTGGAAAAGATAAAGCGCAAATATCTAAGCATTTACTAATACAGACACAGAGGAGCACACAGCACAAAAATGATGATGATGAGGAGGTGGTGTCCTCCACTTTACAAAGTTGTAAGAAAGAGTCTCAGTCCCAAGAGTGATGCTTGAAAAACAACTGCCGAGTTCACAGAGCCAACTTGCCCAGCCTTACGGTTCTAGGGCCCTTCTGCTTAGATGCCACCGCTGCCACTCTCTTCTTCCCCTCCACTGCTGCTGTAGCTCCCTCAGTCCAACTGAGGAGTCTCCTGCCTCCCTGGGCTCCTCGAGGTCTAACACCGAGCCCAAGCCAACGAACTGATGGTTGTTCTCATTTCTTGGCTGACCAGAACCAGTAGCTGTAACTCACTCTCTCTTGCACAGGTCTGAATGTCAGTGATTTCAGTTTGTATTTCACATGGAAGTCAAACCCCACGCTGGGGTTCCATCCCTCTGCCTGCAGTGTTCCAGAGGCAGAAAACACTGCTGGTTCCCCCTCTCCATATCAAATGCCATACTCACCTGATAAATATCCACTCATACTTTTGTCAAGACTGTTAAATTTCTGTCTGTATTTTAATCTGGAGGCCTGAGGAACTGCCCAGTCTGTGGATACAATCTTTGGTGAATTCCCAGCTAGTGAAGCACTAGAGGAAGAATTTGAACTGTAATACAATTTAAAGAGAAAGAACTCTAAGTTACTTGACTTAATAAACAGGCATTGCAACCAAAAATATATAACATATATAACATATTCTGCTATATATAACATATGTAACATATAACATATATATAACACATTCCATAAAGTTTGACCTCTGCTAACTTGCTGTAAGTATTTTCATGATTAATACGGAATTTTACTGCAAAAGTAGGAACACATATCTAAAAGGAAACTCTCGATTTTACAGTCTTGTTCCCTTGGTATCACAGGCACTTATGCCACATAATTCTTAAGTCCACTACTGCAAAACAACACTATAGGACACCATAGAAAAACATCTTAAGTTTCACAAGAATGTTCACAGGGGCTCTAAAACACAGGGCAGATGTTTAAGTAGTACTAAGAGGCATGCAAATGAATAACTATAAGCATAAAAATGATAAACTCACAACCAAAAGAAGCTTCTGAAACTGCTGAAGCTGTTTTATCATACCTCTAACTATTCTTTTCATCAGTGAAAATGACAGCCTGAGCTTTTCCAACTCATTCAGTTGCCGCAGACCAGTGCTTGATGGAGTGTTTAGTTATACCAACAAATGTCTCCCTGCAACTCCCAGAACTTTCAGTGTTGCTTCTTTGAAGATCAGACAAAACCAGGTGGATCCAAGCCTGCCTGGTTTAAGGTAATCCCCTACTCTGTCAAGTAAAGAACTATTTGCAGTGTTCTCCAAGGCAATAAAGTAAAGAATGCTGATGTAAACAAAGCCTTTTGGGCATGATGCTGATAGATATCCTGTGCATGGAATTAGATAACAGGATAGTGAAAATGCTGTCAACAGCAACACTGAAGAACCACTCCGCAACATTACAAGCAAAGGAAATCCTTCCAAGTAAAAAAAAAAAAAAAGAAAAAAAAAGGAAGAAAGAAAAGAAGTTGATTACAGGACTCATCTCTATGAGAAGCCTGAAGTTAAACACGTGTTCATCCTAAATCATAGAATCACAGGTTGTCATAGGTTGGAAGGGACCTTAGAGACCATCTAATTCAACCTCCCTGCCATGGGCAGGGATGCCCTTTCTAGCCCAGGTTGCTCAAGGCCTCATCCAGCCTGGCCTTGAACATCTCCAGGGAGGGGGCAGCCACAACCTCTCTGGGCGATCTAGTCCAGAGTCTTGCCACCCTTGTACTGAAGAATTTCTTCCTAAGATCCTACTCTCCTTCAGTTTAAATCCACTTCCCCTTGTCCCATTGCGGACACTCAAGTCCTTCCCCAGCCCTCCCGTATGTTCCTGTAGGTACTGGAAGGCAGTTATAAGGTCTCCCCAGAGTCCTCTCTTCTCCAGGCTGAGCAATCCCAGCTCCCTCAGCCTTGTATCAGCAGCAAAGAGGTGGAAGCACCTTCTGAGTCACCTGGAACTGAGCTGGGGCTGAGGTGCCCCTTGGGCTGCCTTTTGGGACCCCATTCCCTGGATGCCCAATTGGATCGACAAGCCTAGCCCCTCACTTGAACTAGGCAAAGCTCTGAAATCAGTCAAATGGAGCAGCTGATTCCAAAGATTCGTAATCTTCTATTATTCGTAAAGAAAATTCAAACAGAAATACTTGTAACAAATACTATTCTGACACGCCTGCTAATTACATGGTGCCCACTGTAATGAACAAGCACATCAATCCATACATGTTGCTTTTATGACTACTTGGCCAGTTTTACTCCTATTTACTAACAAGGTCCATTCTCTGCTTTTTGGCATCACTTTCTCTCATTTAAGCTTCTCAAGTTACTTTAGATAGTTTTGTCAGATTTTCTGAAAATACCACTTATTACGCATAGCAAAACAAACTATTTTCAGACTCAGCAGGTCACATTACGCGGACTAATTTTAAATGAACGTACTCTGAAAACAGAAATGCTCCGTAAGGTTTGAGGGCATACTAAAGATATAACCATTTTAAACTTAACTTTCATACCTGCTAGATCCTAAATCGATCAGTGATTGTGCCTTCTGCATACTAGTACCACCAAACCCTCCTGTCATGGGACCTAAAGAACCAGTATGAGGCAGCGCTGGAACAAAACAAACAAACAAACAAAAATGTAAAGCAACTGGGTACAAGGTAATGCTTTCTAATAAACACTCAAGGCATTGAGAGAAGTAAGAAAAGCTAATCTCTGCCTTGTTGTTAAGACTAACTAGTTAGAACCAGCGTGATAAATGTACACTTTGGGGAAAAAAAATTATAGTGTGGGTTTTTTTAAACCTGCATGCAAGTAATCAGCATTCCTGTCTGAAATTAGCTATGGAGAAAGTTAAGATTCACAATTCGGAAAGTAAGGACTGGACCATAGTATACTCACTCGAAGAGAACGGTACAGACAAAGGCTGCAGAAGGCTGGCTGTTCCGTTTGGCAACGAGGAGGTACTGACAGAAGGCACCAGGGGAGCAGCGATAACCAGAGGGGGAATGGAAGTCATGGAGGTCAGAGGCATGGGAGCTAACGGTGTGATCGTAGACACAGATGTTGGCATGGACAGATTTGGCATACTACCCATTCCTAGAGCAAAATCCAACAATTCATGATTTAATATCACAGAAGATCCAAAATGACAGTGGGTCCTTTATGCTAGGGACAAACTACACAAATCAATCTGCATCCGGAGACACAATGGGTTAAAATAGATGCTCACATGTAATATTTACATTTTCTCTCAAGTTTACACAAGACAGCTCACAGAGGAAAACACACCGAAGAACATGTATATATATATATATATATATAAAAGTAATTCTTACAAGCAATCTA